CCGGTGGGCGAGCAGCCGGGCCCAGAGCCCAGTCTGGGGTGGTGCTGTGGTCTGTGCGTGTAGCACGAGGGGCAATGTCAGGCCACCCCTGGCCTGGCCAGTTTGGACCAAGGAGACATCTGGTGGCCACTAAGAGACCTGCAGCCTTTTTGCAAGGAGCCCTGGGTGAAGGTCTCAGGGTCTAACCAGACCCTTGGGAGCCCCCAGGGCCCCAGAAGGACACCATCACCCTTGGGGTGAGCTCGTAGCTGCTCCAGGCTTCCGTGCCTGGGATCCAGTGGGAAGACGGCCGGATCTTGCGGATCCCTCCCAATCCCAAAGCTGGGGGAGAGCTGCCCTGGAGGGCGCTGGGCTGAGGGAGGACGACAAGCAGGAGGACCCGATCCATCATCGTTGGTGAACAATGAGCCATCACCACCCTAATTAAAGATGTAATTACAGCAAATACATTCTGGGCTGCCAATGAATGACGGGTGGCAGGAAGGCACCTTGCGGGCCCAGGAGATGATGCTCCCAAAACTCCCTACTGTGAACTGGGGAACCCTCCTCTCAGCACCCCCAGCTGGCCACAGGGTGCCCTCCAGATAGGACAGCCTGAGCCAGGGGCTGAGGCCTGGCTGGAGAGAGGAGGGTAGGAAGGAGGCTGCTCGCCGGGGCGAGAGGGCCTGGGCTGGTATCTGTGTCTTGGGCCGGGGAGCAGGGCAGGGAAGAAGCGGGTACCTCTGTGACAGCATGACGGCTCTGTGCTGGATTTCACGCCCACCTGCTTGAGGTCACTGGGCCCCTGCCAAGGCCCTAGAGGGTGGGTGAAGGGCCAGGCCAAGGGGACTCAGCCTACAGACCTGTGACATAGCAAAGCTCTGGTGGGCCATATGGGCTTGTTGGTTTGACCCAGGCTTCAGGAACTGGGGCAGAAAGCGGGGTGGACTCTCCCGAGCGCTGATGTGTCCTTAGCTGAAGGCTGGGGTCCAGGGCAGGGGACTCTGGCCGACCTGATTTCTGCTGCTCTCTCCTTCAGCAGAGTAGGCCCCAAGCCACCTCTTACCCAGGGCTGCTGTCTGGGACCACATCTAAGGTCACGGCGACTGGTTGCCCCAAGGAGTCCTGGGGCTCAGGACACTTCTTTCTGTCCTAAGGATGCCAAGGCCTGTTTGCCTGGGGCCCCCTCCACTTACCGTCAGGGAATAGGCTATGCTGAGCACAGGGTCGGGTCACTCTGAGGCCAGCCTGCACTGGGACTATTCCAGGGCTAAGGCATGAAGGCCTGCCCTAATGGGGGGCTTGGTGACCTCCGTCTCTTGGCTCCATCCACTGTGGTGGCCCCTGGCCAGGTCCTTCAGGGTGTGTAGGCTAACCCCAGGGGAGAGGGGGCTGGGTGGGGAATGGTGGGAGCCCGGGCAGGCAGGCAGAGGGAGGGAGGGAAGGACACTGACAGCAGAACAAATGCTTGTAATTTTATAACCAATCGCGGTGTGTCCGTGGGGGGCCGTTTGCGCCTCCACTCAGGACCAATCAGCCTGACAGAGCTATGAGTCTGCCTGAGTGAATGTGAGCAGCCCCCCGCAACACCACTTACTGCAATCTCATTACCAGCCCAGCCCAAGACCGGAAGGGGGAGCAACTCGGCCACAGAGAGCCAGGAGGGAGCCAGGGTGGGCCTGGGACCAGGAGGGCGGCAGGGCAGGCCTGGGAGACCCAGCAGCTCAGAGGGAGGGGGAGAAGGAGGCAGAGCCTCAGAAACATCACTTAGGAAGCACCTACCGGGTGCTGAGCATTTAGGACCCTGACAGGGCACAGGCCCCTGCCCTCAAGGGGCTTGCAGTCTGCTCAGGGCAGATGGACAGATTACAGACAGACGGGCCCTGGGGAAAATGGGGCTGGAGAGAAGTTACCAGAGGGCAAGGAGGAAGCTGAAGGACAAGGAAGGAGAAGGACAGAGTCCCCAAGCCAAGCTGGCACTGGGCAAGGGGCTAGAAGGAGAGAGGAAGGAAGAGAGGGAGGGGAACCAGAGAACCCTCCGGACTGTGTAGAGCCTGGTAGAGTCCGGGCAGAGAGCAGGGGACTGGGAGAGAAATGCCCACCCACGGGAGGAGAGCAGGGCAGCTGGGGGAGGGGCAGCTGGCCAGTGGTGATATTAAAGGACTGCCTTGCTGGATATCTGGCTCTGGGGATGGCTATGTGCCCATTAGTCTCTCTAATTGTCAAAAATCTAATTTAGTGTCTGGAGCCGGGGCTGGCCTCAGGTTAAATGGAGGGAGGCAGGCCTCGCCATAAATCCGCCCGCCCAGCCTGGGCTGGTGCTAATTCTGCAGTTAAGTGAGGGGGTGAGGAGGGCACAAGATGGAACAGGCAGGGCCCTGGAGAAGGGGTGTCCCTGGGTAACACTGTATGCCAGCCCCCATGTGCTAGGTCATAGCCAGGCCCTCCTCCAGGGGGCCTTGCCTGGGGGTCTCATTTGGACCATTCAGGGGAAGTGCCTCAAATGTGACATGAGCTCAGGACCAGAAAAGTCTCTCACTGGTCTGCTTGGCTGGGATTATAAGACTATCAGCCCCTCGTCCCCCTGGACGTACTCAGGTTTCTAAATGAGTTCTGCTATTGCAAGGTGGCTGGTGGGAAGGGCACATTTCCTACATAAAACCATGAGCCTTTGATGACGAAGGGGGCATGGAGACTCATACTATGTGACTACGTGGTCATCACCTAGCAGTTCGCTGGGGATGGCCTCAGTGATGAGACCATGTGGCATTCAGGAGATGCCTGGGGAGTAAAGGGCCATTCCTTAGTGGAGAGAGAGCACTCCCCACTGGGCTGCCCAGCCTCTCCTTCCTGAGGACCTGGACGGCCACTGAGCATCCCGTGGCCTGAGCTGGTGGTGGGGCTCTCCAAGCTGCGCCTGGCAATCTCACACCTCACTCCCCTCAGAGCTGCTAATTGAAAGCAAGGGGTGTGGCAGGTGCAGTGGGAGAGGTGGGGGGACTGAGAGGCTTCCTTGCGAGGCTCCGCTTCCATGGGGGGCGGGGGTAAACAATTTCTCCTGGCTGCAGCTCCATCTCACCAGGCACCCACTTGGCCTCTCCTGCTGCTAACAAAGTGTCTTTAATTAGCAGCCTAATAAAATGCTCTTAATTGGCAAGAGCCAATCAGGAAGAAGAGAGGTTTCCTCCCCCTAGTCACTGCGGATGGTGGCACAGCTATAGGTTTAAAGGGAAGCGGGATTCTAGGCCCAGCTTGGGGTTAGGAAGCAGTGGCTACAGAGGTGAGTCTTCCCAGGGCATGCCGGAGCCCCACCCTTCCTGGGGGAAGAGCTCTGACACAGGGTTTGAAGGTGAAGTCCCTAAACCCTTAGGCTCAGCCTCTGCTCAATTCTGTGCTCAGGAGCCCAGCTGGCGAGGTACACAGCTGAGTGGATGCTAGCAGCCCCAGAGTGGTCTCTCCCGACTTCTACCTCCCTACCTTCGCTCTCTAGGGCACTGCCTGTTCATAGCTGCTGGGGAGGAGACTTCAGTGTGGTCTTGGGCAACATGGGCCCCTTTTCTTGCTCCTAGGTTTCCTCATCTCCAAAAGGCTGGGCGTACCTCATGCTCTGACATTCTTCTAGCTCACGCAGGGATAGTTCTGCATAGGGGCCCTGATGTCAACCACAGTCTAAGATTGCTCTAAGGACCAGTGGAGGGCTGGGTGTGGTGGCTCATGCCTGTAATCCTAGCACTCTGGGAGGCCAAGGTGGGTGGACCATATGAGCTCAGGAGTTCAAGACCAGCCTGAGCAATAGCGAGACCCCATCTCTACTGAAAAATAGAAATAAATTAATTGGCCAACTAAAAATATATAAAAAATTAGCCAAGCATGGTGGCGCATGCCTGTAGTCCCAGCTACTCGGGAGGCTGAGGCAGGAGGATCGCCTGAGCCCAGGAGTTGGAGGTTGCTGTGAGCTAGGCTGACGCCACAGCACTCTAGCCCAGGCAACAGAGTGAGACTCTGTCTCATAAAAAAAAAAAAAAGAACCAGTGGAGTCCAGATAGACAGTGAGACACAGGCTGATAGAAGCAAGGGGCCTGGTCAAGTGGGAGGGGTATTATTAATACCAAAAGCCCATAAAGGACTTTTACTATTCTAAGCTAAGACAAGGATGGGTCAATTTTGAGAAGGGTCCTGTTTGTGAAATAGAGGAGGTGAGAAGAGGATGAAGAACGAAGAGTCCCCTTCTGTCATTGCCTGCAACCTTGAACTTATCTCCCTAGATTTGGTTTAAGCAGGGAGGGTTCACTTGGGAGCAGCAATGTTGTCCCCCAGGTGGCCAACAGTGCCTTCATTCTCACAGTTTGTTGGAGTCTCCCTGAAATTGCTCCTGGATGTGAGCTCACCTGTCTTATAAACTGATATTTTCTTACTGCTGAGGGGCAGAGAGAAACTCAAATTCTGGGCTTAGGTTGGGTTGTGGTTGGCTATGGTGACCAATTTGAAAATTAGACATCAGTTTGGCTTTAATTTAATTTGACATGATGGCCATGTGCCATGGCTCACGCCTGTAAATCTAGCACTCTGGGAGGCTGAGGCAGGAGGATTGCTTGAGCTCAGGAGTTTGAGACATGCCTGAGCAAGAATGAGTCTCGTCTCTACCAAAAATAGAAAAATTAGCTGGGCATTGTGGTTCGGGTATGTAGGCCCAGCTACTCAGGAGGCTGAGGCAAGAGGATTGCTTAAGCCCAGGAGTTTGAGGTTGCTGTGAGCTATGATGATGTCACTGCACTCTACCCGGGGCAACAAAGCAAGACTCTGTCTCCAGAGGGTGGGGGGGGGGGGAATCAACACGGACTAGGACTTGTATGCCAGGGACCCTGTACTTATTCATGTTATCTAGCCCTGACCTCTCTCAAGCTGGTTTTCTCATGTCAGACTATCTTAAAATGTATTAAATCTGTGTACTCTCTCCTCCCTCAATTTGTATATTTAAAAACATATTGTCCTGTTGATGTTGGGGCAAAGAGACAAGACACTTAGAAAATTCACTTTAATCTTATATTTGTAATTTAAGTTACTTTTTTCTGAACAGTTAAAAAAACCAAAACACACTCTATTACCATGATCCTAGGCTGTGAACATATTGGTACATTGACTACACATCACCATAACGTAATCACAAAAGTCAAAGCAGTCAGTACTTAAGAGTCTAGAGAACAAAGAACTGAACCAACCAAAAGCTTTCAGGGAAGCTCACAAATTGTTGCCAGGCCTGTCCCCATAGCTGGAGTCTACTGGCCACCCCTCAGATCAGTCTGAGTTGGGCTTGAGTGATTACTGATTTGGGAAGGTGTTAGTTTCCTTGGTACCCAGAGGTCTGACCTCCTAGTTGGTCTTTCCCTTCAGTGTCGAAGAAGGGGAAGTGTTAGGAGGGGAGATAACACTTTAAAATACTATTTACTGTATTGATCCTTAATAAAACACACACAAACACAGCCAATCAGGGGCTAAGAGAACCAGCTGGGCTGGTTGGAAAGCACATATTTCGGATGTCATCTGCCTCCAGGAAATTTCAGATCATAGGTACTCAACTTTCAATAGAATGGTTTCTAGGTATCAACACAATAAGTTCCACCTGAAATTAGGCAAACAAAATCATGCTCTTTTGATTTCTCTCCTTGGCTCCAAGGATTCTGACATCACGAATGAACTACAGGTAAAGAAAACAACAAGCAAAACTCAAGTCTTATTCCCTTAAGAGATGGCTGTCTTTCCAGAACTATGTTGAGATTGTGGTTAAAGTAAGGGGCTGTGGTCGTCAGTGATCAGCTGTGTGGATGAAGCCCAGGGAGATCAACTCAGGCTGTAGCCATTGGGTGCAGTTGAAAGTTTGCTGAAATCCAAATGGGGAAGGAGATTTGAAGTGCGGATGAAAGTGATATGGTAAATGTGACTGACCATCAAAGAATGTGAGGGTCACAGGAGGTGGGTATCTAAGCATCCCATTTTCTACCTGTAAGTACTTTGGATTGCTCCAGAATCCAGCTTGCAGCCCAGCCCTCAGGGTTGTACTATTCTGGGTTGGACTGCTCCACTTCAGAGGGTATTGACATCTAAGGCAAAAGGAAGATGTTAATGAGGTCAACAATATCAAGGTATCTAATCCAGTTCTAGGGAAGAAAAAAAAATAGCCCTAATTATTCCCAGTATTCCCTATCCTCCCTCTACCCTAAGCCCTTTGTCTCCACACACAATCAAGTGCTAAATAAGGAGTAGACCAACCACAGGCACCAAGGAATGGTACCAGGAGTCAGCAAAGAGTGCATTTTTTTTTCCTGGAGCTTTAGATTATACAAAAGAAAAATAAAAAAAGATTGTTCTTACTCAAGCAAAAACCAGAATGATTTGGGGGTCTCAGGGTCTTTTCCAGTTCAGAAACAAGTTATGAGAGCTGGACTTTATTACTTGTCAATAGAGTTCCAAAGAGAATCCCTGTCTTGAAGGAGACACCAAAAAGAATTTTGCCAGGCGACAAGTGTAAAAGGCCTCCCATACATAATTCACATCCACTTTCAAATTGCACATAAGTAAAAAGATGTTTTCAGCAGTGAAATAAACACACGTGCAGCAAGGCATGCTGGTCTTGTCCAAGCAGCCCCAGTGTGGACCAAGAGGTCACATGTGTCCACAACAGGTGTAGGTGCATGCACACGCTCCTCATCCACTTCAAAGGGGTCTCAGCCTTCTTTACAAAAGGTTCTTTCAGGCCCTACATTGAGAAGTGAATTTTAGTGAGAAGAGACTAATCTACAATTGGGATATTTTGCTTCAGAGCCAAGGGACACCTTCAGCTCATTTTCTACCATTCCTTTAAATGTGTTGAGACTTTCTTTGTTTCTCTTTTGTTTTTAAAAAGGTCAAACTTTACATTTATTCTAGCCCAGTTGGGGCTTAGTAATAATCAATTCCCACTGAAATCACGCAGAGATGGTAAGTGGGGTTTACCTTCTCTGGAAATGAACTTCTACTTACCTGATTATTTCTTCTACAATGAACTAGTAAATGACCCCCAGAGCTGAGAAATGTGAACAATTCAAGTTTTTCAGACCACTTAACTTCATTCCCATTTCCATCAGCAGCTCAGGACAACTTGGAAAATGTCCTCAACCGAGCTAATGGCTCCACATCTGCAGGGTCCACCCTTGATCTCATTTATAATGTACTGGACAAGTTTCAAAATGGTCTTAGAAACAATATACCTTCAACTGAACCTAGATGGGAGAGTGAAACCCCAGGCACCCATGAATATTCAATAGCTCCCACTTTTGAACAGCAGCATATAAGAGAAGGGCTAGTATAGTTATGGCTATTGGACAATATTTTGAGATAGCTTGAAACCAATGCCTCTTTCGTGTCTGACTTGTGTGTTTTTCAGGGCTGACAGCCCTCTACCTTCATCTGTAGCAAAATCCTTAACCAATCAAAAAGCCATTAATAGTCAACGCAATAGACGAGGAACCCTGATAGTGGCTAAGTAGAAAACATTTCTCTGTAGGATTTGGATAGCTGAGAAGGGAATTATACTGAAAATATTTCTCAGGCAACAATGTAACACTACACTGGGTAATATTTTCTCAACATAACCTGGAACTAAAAGCTTAAAAGTACTCATAAGCAGGAAAGGGGAAAGGTAAAATGCTTATGCATAACCTGCTTCTTAATATGTAGTAACAACATTCAGTCTGGACACATTTTGGGAGAGGGCTACCTTCTTGCAAATCAGAAGGAAAAGTGAAGGGGCTTCTCTCTCCCTACTCCCCTCTGCTGAGCTAATGGTGGCCTGGCTTTAGGTAACTTGCAACTGGCCCTCACTTTCTGTTTTTATAGCAGCGGGTTAAAAAGTGGCTTTCTTAAACTCAACTACTTTGATTAGGAAGGAAAACAATGGGCCTGACTGCTCAGCTTCCAAGGGAAATGTGAGACGGTACCATAGCCTCAGGGTGTTGGCCGGGCTGCCTGTGATACCCGAGATGGCTTGTGCAGATCCACGTGTGCTGGGGAAACAAGCTGGGTGTGCGTTAACAGCATTTCCTGTGCTCTCAGGTCGGTATGGCACAAGTGTCCTTGTGCCTGAAGCCCGCTGGCTTGGGAGCCCACACAGCTGCCTTCCAAGCTGCCAGGTGAGCCTGGCCCTTGCTGAGGTCCATTTGTTTATGTTGTTTACCAACTGCCAGAGAAATTTTATTGGCTGGGGAGAGTGAAGAGCAAAATAAGTCCAGGAGGAGGAGGAAATGAAAGAAGGCAGTTTCTGCCCCATTAATAGACCCTGTGTGCCAAATGTCACCCTGATCCTCTCTTTCAGGCAGCTTTGCCCTTTTGCACATACAAGGTGTGGGCGAAGCAGAGGGAAGGTTCTGTGGTGCAAGGATGAGATGGTTAGATTAATTTTTGAGAGATAATACTTACTGACCTAAATGAAAAAGAAAATCAGTTTTCACTCCTGACCATCTCTTAAGCTACTCCGACTGTGGTCTTTGCAAGATACAGGCGCCTGGGTGTGCACAGGCCCTGATGAGGAAATCTGAGATGGGAACCATTATGCAGAATGACTCTGGCCATTTCAAACCTTTCTGTAGGCTGAGCCTTACCAGTGATTTAAGATGAAGTACAATGCTTTTTATTACACACCTAATTGTTAATGAGAGGAAATGCAATCAGCAACTCCTTTCCACACTCTACATGGAATCGAGGAGACTGCTGAGTCCAGAAAAGATGCAGCCATTGATGGAGCCCAGGAAATTTCTCCCCCCATTGCCTCCACCTTTGGGTGGAAGGAAGGAGAAGAGAGAAGAATTGCAAATATGACGAGAGTATCATGTCCAAGAATCCACTGTTGCCACGGGGCACTTGCAGCAAAAGCCTGGGTTTGGAATTTTGACTGAACAGTATTTAACTCTTCCAAGTGCTGCACTTTCTAGCTGATCTGCCTCATGCTAACTGAGGACACTCTCTTCATATACTTTCTTCTCAGGTGGAGCAGAGAAACAGTTTGGGGGGTGGTTGGGAGGGTAGCAGGGAACAGGGACAGAGAGAAAGAGAAGGGAGGCAAGAGGCCCAGATCTTCTGGTATGTGTATTCTTATTTTCTTTCCTTGCCCTGGAGGCCATACAGAGAGAGCTCTGTCTCCTCCTAAGCATAGTGGGGCTGGGCAGCTCTGGCCAGGGAGACACTGGGTGCTGTCTGGATTGAAGGTGCATACACCTCTTCCCTAGAAGTGGGTCTCTCCCAGTAGCCTATACAGGGAAACTAGTTCTTCTGCTTAATGGCAAAGCAAGAGAGATTCTGGCAAAACACTAAATATATTTATAAGTCATCTTTGTCTGGAACCAAATGGGGAAAAAATAGGTGCAGAGGGGAAAAGATGAGGGGAGGTGAGGTTTAAAAGTTCCAATCATTCATGAAAGATAGAAGACATCTTCTGGTAGCAGCACTGAAGCAGTCAGCCGTGCTGAGTAGACCGTCCTGGGCCGACTGCAGACCAACTGTGTCCCAACGGGAGTCTCAAAGCCCTGCTCCCCAGCTAGTCCGGGGAAACCGGGTAGTAGTTTGGTTGTTACTGTTGTTGCTCGTCCTGGTGTTGGCAGATATGTTGAATACCGCAACTTGAATGAGTCCTGTGTGAAAACAGAGCAAACAGTCATTAGCCCCTTTCCCTGTATTTCTTATCTGCTCTAAAGAGGAAAAGAACATTCACTTAGTTGCTAACAGGAAAAAAGGCTTAGGGTACTTCCTAACACCTGCTCTCTGTCCATGCCATGCAGGAGCTTCTGTCAAAGGCTACCTGGCCTGATTATGGGGACTTATACAAAAAGCATGGCTCCCTGACCTGCTCAGGGCTGTGCTGTTCAAACTAAGTGAAGTCTTGAGGCTAAAGTGACCACAGTTGGCGTAGCTTTCACCTGCTCCTTGGAATGGCAGAGCAGGATGGGGAGGCTCAGGGTGCTTTACCCCAAGTAGCCATAAAAAAAGTGGTGCCACTAACAGAAGTGGGGGAGTCGAGGGAAGCTGGCCTGGCTGTGTGGCTGAGGGGTCAGTCTGACTGAGGATGGGAGCACCAGAAGTGCTCCCGGTACCTTCAAGGACAGATATGTAGATGACAGCTCGTCATGTGGCCTGGAGAGTAAGGCAGAGGTAGAACTGGAGATGGACATTTGAGCGTCATCTACACACTGAGATGAGAGCTGACACTGTGGGAAGAGATATGGCAAGCTTATTCCCAAGAAGGAAGGGAGCTTAGATAAGGAAGAAATGCCAGAGACAGACTCTTAGGGGATGTCTATGTTTTAGGAATGAGGAGGGACGGAGACACAAACCATCAGAGAGCCAGGAAGAATGGTAAAAATGGCAAAATGCCATAGAAGTCTAAGGAAGAGAGAATTTTGGCAAACGAGGACATAGGTATATGGTGATTACAATAGTAATAATAATGAACACTTTTCACTGAGGCCGGGTTATGTGCTAGGCATTGTGCTGAGCACTAACAATTTTCCATACAGTATCTCCATGCAGCCCTCATGCGAGCTCTGTGAGTAGGTACTGCCAGCTCTGGGAAGCTACCTGTCCAGGGGCACACAGCTGATGTGACTTGGCTCAGGAGGCTGAGGAACAAGGAAGCCACATTCTTCTGCAAGAGTAGGGGATGCTGAGGCAAGCCCAGTTGGGTGTGAACTACCCTTGGTGGTTCCCTTGGCAGGAACACCGCAAAAAGAGGTGCAGAAAAGCGTAGTGAATGTGCACTGCCATGAGAGCTGAGTCAAGTGTGAGAAATGAGAAATCCTACCACCAGCAACGTGCACCAGTAGCTAGTATAGCTTTCCCAAACTAGTCATAACCTAGTGTGTGTGAACTGGGTAGGACACCTGGTATGATCTGAATACGTTGTAATGGGTATAGACAACCTGGGTACTTTTAGAATCTTCCCCTGCTTGAGCGAGAGGTTCGAGACCTTAGTGGGAAGTACACTGGGTTCTCACCAACTTCAGAGCTACTTCTGAGGTCAAAAGACAGGACTTCATCTTGGAGGGGGTGGAGAGTGGGAATAAGGATAAAAAAGCTACATTTTATAACTGAATGATACTAACAAGGCAGAGCTGCCAAGATGTCAGTGTGACATTTCACCAAGAGATATTTGAATTCACACATTAGATTATCTACTTGATTTAAAGGATCTCCATGGGGGGGGGTGTCTTATTTTTTGGATACAGAGTCTCACTCTATTGCCTGGACTTTAGTGCTGTGGCATCATCATAGCTCACTGCAGCCTCAAACTTCTAGGCTCAAGTGATCCCCCTGCCTCAGCCTCCCAAGAAGCTAGGACTATAGGTGTGTGCGATCATTCTTATGCACTAAGTTTTCTATTTTTTGCAGAGATGGGGTCTCATTCTTATTCAGGATTGTTTTGAACTCCTGGCCTCAAGTGATCCTCCCGCCTTGTCCTTCCAGAATCCTAGAATTACAGGCATGAGCCACTGGCCCAGGGCTCTATTGTGGGTATTATTTGATCTGGAATCATTACAGTCCTTAGTTTTCAAACTAATTTAAATCTCATTTTATTTTTATAACAATCCTACTAGATAACTAGAGCAGGAATGATTAGTGCTACCAACAAGTGGGATCCCAGAATCATCTAGAACTGAGGCTGGCTACCTTGGTGACAGGCACTACCCACTGTGGCAGCTCCAGCCCTGTCTCATGTTGTCTGTTGCTTCCTCTGCTTTACAGGACTTGGTGAGTTGAAGAGCATGAGAAAGCTGCATGAATTCGCAACAGCTTACTCCTAGCACTCCATCTCCCATGCACAGTACTATGTACATAACTCTTTCCATACCTGGGCAAGTATGAGGTCAGTGTATGGTTATTTATCTGGAGATGTAGGTGTATGTTCGAGAAGGGGAACGGGGAGGTTCTGCTTGGGCAGCTGGATCATTTAGGAAGTCCCAGATGAGGATTGTGTCATCATGTGAACTGCTGACAATCTGGAATTCATCAAACTGGAGTCGGAAAACTCTTCCGGAATGCTCCTAAAGCAGCAGAAACAAAAAGGGTAAGAATTTGAACTACTCAAAATCAAAAGGACATAAATTCAGCAACATGTCAAAAGGAGTCTATGGAAAGGTAATGGAGTACCGTTAATTTTTTTCTACCATTTAGCAGTTTTAAAAATATACAGAGAAAAGGTAGGATGAAAAAGTCAAACACTAGACAGCTGTAAACAATGTAACATTCTTCACAATAGCCAAGATATGGAAAAAAAAAACAAAAAAACAAAAAAAAAACAATGTAACATTCTTCAGCCAAAACATGTTAAATAGCATGCTAATTTCTCTCTGCCAACACTCCTTGGCTTAGGCTGAATGAAAGAAGGACCTCCCTGGCCTTCTCCTTTCTCTGTGTCTCTAAGTTCCTTCTACAATCAGAGGCCAAGGGTTCGCAGGTAGTAAGTGTGCTGATAAATATTTATCAACCAAACTTCCCCAATTTGTAAAACCACTGGTAGATTTTCATAGCATAAAAATCCTTACAACGGCCAGTTTCAAGCCACCCATGCTTGAAACCAGATTGTAAAATTTAAGAGTATCAGTAATCCTAGCACTCTGGGAGGCCGAGGCGGGAGGATTGCTTGAGGTCAGGAGTTTGAAATCAGCCTGAGCAAGAGCGAGACTCCATTTCTACTATAAATAGAAATAAATTAATTGGCCAATTATATAGGAAAAATTAGCCTGGCATGGTGGCGCATGCCTGTAGTCCCAGCTACTTGGGAGGCTGAGGTAGGAGGATTGCTTGAGCCCAGGAGCTTGAGGTTGCTGTGAATGAGGCTAAAGCCACGGCACTCACTCTAGCCTGGGCAACAAAGCGAGACTCTGTCTCAAAAAACAAAAACAAACAAAAAAGTATACCTAACAGTTGGCTCTCATTAGAGGGTATCAGCCTGTTCTAGTATACCACTGGCAATAACGACCACCCCAGTCAAGATGTAGAATGTTTCCAGTATCTTGGAAAGTAATCTCACAATCCCCCACCAGTCAATGTTACCATTATTAATTCATTTAGTCTGTTCTTGGATTTCTTATAAACACACTCATACAGTATTGTATTCTTTTGTTCCTGGCTTCTTTTGCTCAACATTCTATCTGTAAGATTCCTTTCTGCATATAAAATAGTAGTTTTTTCTTTTTTATTACTGGTTGATATTCCAATGTATGAACATACTATAATTCTCTCATTGGTGGACATATGGGCTGATTATAGTTTTGGGCTATTGTAAGTAAAGCTGCTGTGAACACTTAGGTGCACGTCTTTGATGGATATATGCACCTATTTTACCCAGGAGTGGAAATGCTGGGCCATGGATTAGGTGTCTATTAGTATTTTTTAAAATGGAGACAGGGTCTTGCTCTGCTGCCCAGGATAGAATGCAGTGGTGTCATCATAGCTCACTGCAACCCTAAACTCCTGGGCTCAAGTGATCTGCATGCAAAGGCATGCACCACCACACCTGCTTAATTTTTCTGTTTTTTGTAGAGATGTGGTCTCACTATTGCTCAGGCTGGTCTGGAACTCCTAAGCTCAAGCAATCTTCCAACCTCAGCCTCCCAGAGTGCTAGGATTACAGGCGTGAGCCACCATGCTCAGCACCTATTACACTTTTAATTTGCATTTTAAAAAATAAAGTTGAGGAAGTTCCTCTATGTTCCAAGTTTGCCAAATTTTTTTTTTTAAATCATGAATGGGTGTTGGATTTTGTCAAATGGTTTTACTGCATATATTGATACAATCACGTGGATTTGTCTTCTTTAGCCTGTTGATGTGATGGATTTTATGCATTGATTTCTGAATGCCGAACCAGCCTTGCATACCTAAAACAAATCTTTGGCTGCAGTGTACAATTCTTTTTAACACATTGTTGGATTTGAGTTGTTAATATTTTGCTGAGGATTTTGTTTTAAATTTAAGAGTTACTTCATTTTACACTGATATATTACTATCTATTTATTTATTTGCAGACAGGGTCTTGCTCTGCTGCCCAGGCTGGAGTGCAGTGGTATGATCATAGCTCACTGCAACCATGAACTCCTGGGCTTGAGTAATCTTCCTGTCTCAGCCTTCCAAGTAGCTTAGACTATAAGCACACACCATCATGCCTGGCTAATTGTTTTTTGTAGAGACACAGTCTTGCTATGTTGCCCAGGCTGGTCTCGAACTCCTAGCTGCAAGCAGTCTTCCTTCCTTGGCCTCCCAAAATGCTGGGATTACAGGTGTGAGCCACTGCAACTGGCTAGCTCCTTACTTTGAATTTAATGTTCTTCTTTTAGTTTTCGCAAGTGGAAGCTTAGATTACTAATTTTAGATCTTTCTTTTCTAATATATGCATTTAATACTATAAATTTCCCTCTAAGTACTGCTTTCACTGTATCTCACATATTTTGATAAGTTGTATTTTCATTTTAATTTATTTTAAAATACTTTTCAATTTCTCTTGAGATTTCTTCCTTGACACGTGTTATTAGAAGTGTATTGTAGGCCAGGCGTGGTGGCTCACACATGTAATCCTAGCACGCATGTAATCCTAGCACTCGGGGAGGCCGAGGCAGGCGGATTGCTCGAGGTCAGGAGTTCAAAACCAGCCTGAGAAAGAGTGAGACCTCATCTCTACTATAAATAGAAAGAAATTAATTGGCCAACTAATATACATAGAAAAAAAAAATTAGCCGGGCATGGTGGTGCATGCCTGTAGTCCCAGCTACTGGGGAGGCTGAGGCAGGAAGATTGCTTGAGCCCAGGAGTTTGAGGTTGCTGTGAGCTAGGCTGACGCCATGGCACTCACTCTAGTATGGGCAACAAAGCGAGACTCTGTCTCAAAAAAAATTTTGTTAAACTATATTTTATGTCCCAGACTGTGGTCTGTTCTGGTGAATGTTCAATGGGAGTTTAAGAAGAATGTGTATTCTGCTGTTATTGCATGAAGCATTCTATAGATGTCAATTATATCCAGTTGATTGATGGTGTTGCTGAGTTCAACTATTTTCTTACTGATTTTGTTGCCTGCTAGATCTGTCCATTACTGATAGGGGGTGAAGTCTCCAACTATAATAGTGGACTCATCTATTTTTCCTTGGAGTTCTGTCAGATTTTTGCTTCATGTGTTGTGATACTCTGTTGTTAGATGTTTACACATTAAGGACTGTTATGTCTTGTTGGAGAATTGGCCTTTTTATCTTTATGCAGCTTTATCCCTCATAATATTACTTGCTCTGAAGTCTGCTGTGTCTTAAATCAATATAGTTACTCTAACTTTCTTCTGATGAGCATTAGCCTGCTAGATTTGTTTGCTAGGTTTGCCATAACAAAGTAGCACACACTGGGGGGCTTAAAAAACATAAATTTATTTCCTAAGGTGTCAGCAGGGTTGGTTTTCATTCTGAGGTTTCTCCCCTTGGCTTGTAGACGGCCACCTTCTCCCTTTATCTCCACATGGCCTTCCCTTAGCATGCCCTTTTTTTTTTTTTTTTTTAGCATATTATGGGGGCACAAGTGTTAAGGTTACTTATATTGCCCATGCCCCTCTCCCCCCTCGAGTAAGAGCTTCAAGCATGTCCATCCCCCAAACGTTGCACATCTTACTCGTTGTGGTTGTATATACCCATCCCCTCTTCTCCCCTCCCACCCTCCCGACATCTGATAAATGTTACTCCTATATGTCCACTTAGGTGTTGATCCGTTAATACCAATTTGCTGGTGAGTACATGTGGTGCTGGTTTTTCCATTCTTGAGATACTTCACTTAGTAGAATGGGTTCCAGCTGTATCCAGGAATATATACAAGAGGCGCCATATCACCATTGTTTCTTAAAGCTGAGTAGTATTCCATGGTATACATATACCACATTTTATTAATCCACTCATGAATTGATGGGCACTTGGGTTGTTTCCACAGCTTTGCAATTGTGAATTGTGCTGCTATAAACATTCGAGTGCAGGTGTCTTTTTCATAAAGTGACTTCTGATCTTTTGGGTAGTGGAATTGCTGGATCAAATGGTAGGTCTACTTGTATCGCTTTGAGGTATCTCCATATTCCCTCAGCATGTCTTCATCTCCCCTCTCCTAAGGACATCAGTCATATAGATTTAGAGCCTTGCCTAATGACCATATTTAACCTTAATTACTCTATTTTATTTTTTATAGAGAGGTGGTCTCATTATGTTGCTCAGGCTGGTCTCCAACTCCTGGGTTTAAGCACCCAGGTACCTGGGTCTAGAGGTGTGCCCAGCTTAGTCACTTCTTTAAAGCCCCTATCTCCAAATACAGCCACATTTTGAGGTAGTGAGGTCTTAAGACCCCACCATAAATTTTAGGCCCATAACATATGATATATTTTTCTCTAACCATTTACTTTTAATCTGTATGTGTCTTTAAGTAGGTTTCTTACAGACAACATATAGCTCATTCTTGTTCTTTGATCCACTCTGACAAACTTTGTTTTTAAATCTGAAGCAGGAAAAATATAAAGAAAACCACACCAAGATACATCACAATCAAATTGCTGAAAAGCAGTGATAAAGAGAAAATCTTAAAAGCAGCCAGAGGAAAAAGATACATTATGTACAGAGGAATGAAGATAAATACTACTAGGCTCAAGCGATCCTCCCTTCTTGGCCTCCCAAAGTGCTGGGATTATTAGGCATGAGCCACTGTGCCCAGCCTGGAATGACACCATTGAAATGCTGAAGGATGCTGTCAACCTAGAATTTGTTAGCCAGCAAAAATATCTTTCAGAAATGAAGGCAAAATAAAAACCTTTTCAGGCAAATAATAGCTGAAATTATTTGAATATACAAAATATTAAAGTAAGTTCAGAGCAAATGATATCCAATGGAAACATGGATTTATACAAAGGAATGGAGAGCAATAGAAAAGGTAAATGCATGCATAAAAATAAACTAATCTTTTTTTCCATTTAAAAATTTCTTTAAAAGATAGTTGATTGTTTAAAGCAAAAATAACAATATTATAGAGATTATAA